GCTGCAGGCCGTCGCGGGGAAACAGCTTCCGTGTGGGTGGGGAGTTTAGACCCTGGGACTTGTCGCGAAGAAGTCGAAGAGCTTTTTCAAAACCACTACAGCAGCGTCGCCCTCGTCAAACTCATCACAGACCCCAACACGGGTGCTGCTGCTGCTGCTGCTGCTGCTGCTGCTGCTGCTGCTGCTGCTGCTGCTGCTGCTGCTGCTGCTGTGGTGATGCAGCTGGTGATGCTGCTGCTCCCGCTGTGGCGATACTGCTGCTGCGGTGATGATGCTGCTGCTGCTGCTGCGGCTGCTGCTGCTGCTGCTGCGGCTGCGGCTGTGTCGCTTTCTCTGATGCTGCTGCGGCTGTCATGCTGCTGCTGCTGCTGCTGCTGCTGCAGTGGTCAAGGAGCTGCTGCTGTTGCTGCCACTGTGGTTATTATGGTTATGATGATAATGCTGCTGCTCTGTCTGCTGCTGCTGCTGCTGCGATGATGGTCATTATGATGACTATAATGATAATGATGCTGATAGTGCTGGTTCTGCTGCTGCTGCTGCTGCTGCTGCTGCTGCTGTTGGTGGTGATGATAATGCTGCTGCTGTTGTGAATGGTCATGCTGCTGCTGTTAATAGCCATCATACTGCTGCTGCTGCTGCTGCTGCTGCTGCTGCTGTGCCCGTATTGTCTCAGTTTGGGCCTGATATTTTGGTGCGGCTTCCTGTCTTCTTTTGTCTGCTGCTGCTGCTGCTGCAGCTGCTGCAGCTGCTGCTGCTGCTGCAGTCTCCTTTTCTTTGTCTCTTTTCCCACGGCCTCTGTGCAGCAATTTCTTTATTCCCTAATCAACCTAGAGACAAATCCCTGAGTCTCCATCAACCCGTCCCCATCTCCTGCTGCTGCTGCTGCTGCTGCTGCTGCTGCTGCTGCTGCTGCTGCTGCTGCTGCTGCTGCTGCAGGCAGCTGCAAAGGCTTCGGGTTTGTGCATTTCCTAGACCCTGAAGAAGCAGAAAGAAGTATAGAAGAAATGACGGGGGCCATTTGCCACGGGAGAAGAATTCGAGTTAATAGATCTCACAGCAGCAAAGCTGTGGGGGGCCCCCCGATGGGGGCCCCCCTGGGGGCCCCCGGAAACCCCGCGCTGCAGGGGAACAGTCTCTTTCGAGCAGCAATGCACAAGATATATAGTGCAACAGCAAAAGAGGCGGAGAGAAAAGCTGCTGCTTGCTGCAGCTTGTCTGCTGCAGCAAAGCGGAAGCGGGGCGCGTGGGGCGCAGCAGCAGCAGCAGCAGCAGCAGCAGCAGCAGAGCCGCCGAAGCTGGTGGTGCGGGGCCTGGACTGCAGCAGCTGCAGCACGGAAGAACTGGAGAGACACTTCAGTCCTTTTGGAGAAGTTCTCCAAATAAGACTGTCTCCAAATGGAAAAGCAACTTTAATATTTGCTGATGCTGCTGCTGCAGTGCATGCGCTGCAGTGTATGGACGGCGCAGCAGTGGGGACTGCTCGGGTGTCTCTCGAGCTCCAGGGCGAGCTGCCTCCCGACTGCGCTGCTGCTGCTGCTGCTGCTGCTGCTGCTGCTGCTGCTGCTGCTGGGGGGGGGGACGCCGCTGGCTGGCGCGCCGGCGGCGAGCAGCAGCAGCTCGCCCTCGAGCAGCAGCAGATCCAGCAGCAGCAGCTGCTGCGCCAGCAGCAGCAGCAGCAGCAGCAGCAAGCCGCCCAGTTCACGCAGTACTACCAGCTCCAGCTGCAGCAGCAGCAGCAGCTCATGCTGCAGCAGCACCAGGCCGCCCTCGCCGCTGCAGGCGGGCCCCACGGGGGGCCCCCGGGGGGGCCCCCGGGGGGGCCCCTCGGGGGGCCCCCCGGGGGGCCCCCGGGGGGCCCCCGGGGCAGGGGGCCCCCCTCTGAAGAAGAAATAAGTGGGGCCCTTTTTGCAGACACAGATCCTTGTTTAGTTCCTGCTGAGTTGCTGCCGCAGTGTATGTACAGCGCAGAGGCTGTGGGGCGCTGCTGCAGCATGGAGCGGCACGCGTTTGCTGCTGCTGCTGCTGCTGCTGCTGCTGCTGCGCCGTGTCAGCAGCAGCTGCCGACAGACGCAAGGGGACACTTCGTGCTGCAGCACGTCGAAGACGAACTTGCTGCTGCTGCTGCCTTCTTAGCAGCAGCAGCAAAAGTGCAGCTGCAGCAGAAGGTGGCCCGGGGGCTGCTGCTGCAGCCGCAGGATCTCGAGTGTCTGTACACCTCAGAGCCCGACTCTTGCTGCTGCTGACCAACTTCTCCAAACTTCTCCAAATTTCGCCGAATTTTCTCCAAATTTGTGCAATTAAATCCCAAATTCTTTTTTATTTATTTCTGCAAATTCATTTAATTCCATTTCACTCTAAAAGCCCTTTTTCGAGCTCCAAAATCCATTTCCAAGTCCCCAAAATGGCCCCAAGACACACCCTGTGTCTTCTCCATTTTTGTCTTTTTTTGTCCCTTTTTTGTCTTTTTTTTGTTTCTTTTTTGTCTCCTTTTTGTCTCCTTTTGTCTCCTTTTGTCTCCTTTTTGTCCTTTTTGGTTTTTTGTCTTTTTTCTTTTTTTCTTTTTTTTTGTTTTTTGTCTTTTTTTGTCCCCCACGCCCAAGTCTCCTGCCTCCTCCGCAAATTTGCAATTAATTAAATCCAAAATTTGATAATTAAATTAATTAAATTAAATTAAATTAATTAAATTAATTAAATTAATTAAATTAAATTAAAATGATTTAAAAGTAATTAAATTGAATATATTTAATTCAATTTAATTAAATAAGTATCAAAGGGAGGTGGCTGTGTACATGTGTGGGACTTTTTGCATTAAATGTGCAAACAAAAAAAAACAAAAAAGAAAAAAGAAATAAAAAAGAAATAAAAGCGAAAGAAAAAGAAATAAAGAGAAATAAAAAGGAAAAAAAGAAATAAAAAGAAGAAAAAATAAATTGAAAAGAAATAAATAAAGAAGAAATAAAAAATAAAAAGTTAAGAAATAAAAAGGAACTAAAGAAATAAATAAAAAACAAATAAAAAAGGAAAGGAAATGAAAAGGAAATAAAAAAGAAATAAAGGAGATCCAAAAAAAGAATTGAACTAAAACAAAAAAAAAGAAAAAAAGAATTGAAAGAAATAAAAAAAAAGGAAAAAAGTAAAAAGCAATAAAAGGGAAATAAAAAAAATTAAATTAAAATATTTACTAAATGGTAAATTCGGAATTGTCTTTTCGCTCCTTTTAATTACAATTTATTTATTTCTTTTTATTTCCAATTTTAATTAATTAATTAATTAATTAATTAATTAATTACTTAATTAATTAATTAATTATTTTATTTATTTTATTTATTTGTGGAGAAGTGCATGCATTATATATGCATATATGTGCACACTTGCATTATATACATATACATAACTCTTACATTTTTTACTTACAATGCATAATGTATATATTTATCTAAACTTTATTATCATATATTATGCACTATATATTATATATTATCTATTATATATTATATATTATATAATATATAATATATATATTATATATTATATATCATATGTTTATATGTATATTTTATATATGTTGTATATTATATAATATACAATATATATTATATATATATACATATATAATACCTATATGTATAATACATCATATGTATAATACATATATAATATATATTTTATATTATATAATACACAATCTATATTATACATACATAATAAATATTTATGTATTATACATTATATGAATAATGTATACATATTATATATATTGTATATTATGATATATACAATATGTGTATATATATTACACAAATATATTATATGTATTTTATATTATAAGATACACAATATATGTATATATTGTATATTATAAAATATACAATATATATATATATATATTGTATATTATAAAATATACAACATATAATATGTATTGTATACTACAAAATATACAATATATATATATATTGCATGTTATAAAATATACAATATATATATTGTATATTATAAAATATAAATATATATATATACTAAATAAAGTTTATTTATTTGGAACTTTTGGGGAATTTCCAAAAAACGGAAAAATGCATGCAAACTGTTTCGGCCACGCGGTGTACGTACACCGCGCGGCCGCGGGTTGCAAACGAACTTCCTATTTTGCAAACTCAACTAAATAACCAAATAATAACTAAATAAATAAATAAATAAATAAATAAATAAATAAACAATAAATAAATAAATAAATAAATAAATAGATAATTAAATAATTTGAAGTCCCTCTTTGAGCCGCCTCCGCAGCAGCCACCGCAGCTGTCTAGACACCCCAACAGCCCGCCTCCACAAGAGACAAAACCACAAAAAGAAAATCAAATAAACAAAAAAGAAGACACAAAAAGAGACACAACACAGAAGCAAAACACACAACTCTAGGGCCCCCTTGGGGCCCCTAATGGGGCCCCCTTGGGGCCCCACTAGAGGCCCCTTGAGCCCCCCCAGAAGCCCCTCTGGGGGCACCCTGGGGGGCCCCCGAAAGGCCCCTGGCGGCCCCCTGGGGGGCCCCCGGGGGGCCCCTAGCGGCCCCCTGGGGGGCCCCCGGGGGGCCCCTGGGGGCCCCCTGGGGCACCAGTTCAAAAAAAGGCCTACAGGGGCCCCCAAAGGGCCAAAAGGGCCCCATGCTGCAAATGGGGGCCCCCACGAGGTACTGTGGGCCCCACAAGGCCGGCCGCGGGGGCCCCTGGGGGCCCCCAGACGCCGCTGTGGGCCCTGGGGGGCCCCCTGGGGGCCCCCCAGAAGCCGCTGAAGGCCCCAGGGGGCCCCCCTGGGGGCCCCACAGCGAGCTGCTGCGGAGGGGGCCCCTTTGTTGTGGGGAAGTAGAATTTAGGTGTAGAGTTTAAAGACAAAAAAGAAAGAAAAAGAAATATTAAAAGGGCTTTTGCATGCGCATGCACTCAAGACAGCAGCCGGCGTTTGGGGCTTTCGAGCTTCCCCTCCTCTGCATGCATTACAAACTCCGTCAGAGAGGCTGGCGTTGCTTCCCGAGTTGAGGCAACCTGCAAGCAGCAGCAGCAGCAGCAGCAGCAGCAGCAGCAGCAGCAGCAGCGCAGCAGCAGCAGCAGCGCAGCAGCAGCAGCAGAGCAGCAGCAGCAGCAGAGCAGCAGCTTCTTCAGCACGCCCATCTCTCTGTTTCCCGACTGCCGCAGCAAACGTGACACGAAGGGGCTAAGGGGAGTAGCAGCAGCAGCAGCAGCAGCAGCAGCAGCAGCAGCAGCAGCAGCAGCAAGCGCACAGCTCTGCTCTGCATGCACCCACGGGGCTGTCGTCTTCGAGGGTTTTCAACTTTTCACTTTTTGGCGAATCCCCTTTTGGGGGAGACGCCAAAGAATACATTATTACCCCCGCCACGCACTGCACACACCCAAACCCTAAACCCTAAACCCTAAACCCTAAACCCTAAACCCTAAACCCTAAACCCTAGGCCCTGGGTATTAGAGCCCACGCGGCAGCTTCCGCTGCACGAGACGGCCCAGCGGCCAGGCTACACCTCCACTCAAAACCCTAAACCCTAAACCCTCGGCCCCCGGACCAAAACCCTAAACCCTAAACCCTAAACCCTAAACCCTAAACCCTAAACCCTAAACCCTGGACTTGCCGTGATTGCGGAGGCGGCGGTCCAGCCGTTGAGGCACTGGTTGGGTTGGATTTCGCAAAAAAGAAAATGCGAAAGAATAAAAACTAAAGCCACTTTGAGGCCCTGCAGCTCCGCATACACCCCACGCTGCTGTCTGTACACCCCACAGCCCTGTCTGTACACCCCAACGGCCCAGCAGCAGCAGCAGCAGCAGCAGCAGCACGGAAAGCCACGAGCTACAGCGGCAGCAGAACCAGTCACGGCAAAAGCTGCGGCACCAGCTGCAGCAGCACCCACCACGGCAACAGCAGCAGCAGCAGCAGCAGCAGCAGCAACAGCAGCAGCAGCAGCAGCAACAGCAGCAGCAGCAGCAGCAGCAGCAAACCTTGAGAATGCCAGTGGAGACGGCGCCGAAGCTGGACATTAAATACCAAAGAGTCCCCGAGTGGACCCACCCCGAAATGAACAGCCACAGGCTGCAGCTAGCCACAGTCTGAGCAGCAGCAGCAGCAGCAGCAGCAGCAGCAGCAGCAGCAGCAGCAGCAATGAGACTCCTGCACGGGTTGCTGCTGCTTGCTGCTTTGCCCCCTTCACCACCCCCGCAGCAAACCCCAACCCACGGGGGGCCCCACAGCTTCGCACTTCGGGGGCCCCCAACAGGGTACTATGGGGGCCCCCAGAAGGGTCTTCGAGGGCCCCCCTGAATTTCTGTGGGGCCCCCCAAAAGGCACTACGGTGTTGGGGGCCCCCCCACGGTACTGGGGGCCCCCAAAAGAGGGTACCGGGGCCCCCTAAAAAGGCCACTGGGGGCCCCCTAAAATGGGTACTGGGGGCCCCTTAAAGGAGCACTGGGGGACTCTACAAAGGGAATTGGGGGCCCCTAAAAAGGGTACTGGGGGCCCCAAAAAGGGTGCTGGGGGCCCCTAAAAAGGGTACTGGGGCCTCTAAAAAGGGTACTGGGGGCCCCTAAAAAGGGTACTGGGGCCCCTAAAAAGGGTACTGGGGGCCCCTAAAAAGGGTACTGGGGGCCCTAAAAAGGGTACTGGGGGCCCCTTGGGGAACTGACATGAATAGAACCGCCTTTGCGGCGAATGGGCAGCAGCACCGCCTCTTCGAATTGCGGGACAGTCCAGATGAGACTCCAGAGAGTTATCACCACGCTGCTGCAGACGCTGCAGCAGCAGCAGCAGCAGCAGCAGCAGCAGCAGCAGCAGCAGCAGATGCAGCAGCAGCCGAAGGGGCATCAGGAGACAGCCAATAGGAGACACACATGACCGCAGCAGCTCCGGAAACACTCCAACTCGCAAAACCCCAAACCCTAAACCCTAAACCCTAAACCCTAAACCCTAAACCCTTTGCTTGCCTTTCTTGAGCAGCTGGTTGACAATGTCTAAAAGAGACACCAGAAGGCCTTTCCGCCAATCACATTTCCTAAAAGGAGACACAATGAGCTGTACAGACAGCTGCGGGGTGTATAGGCAGCTCTGAGGTGTATAGGCAGCTCTGGGGTGTATAGGCAGCTCTGGGGTGTATAGGCAGCTCTGGGGTGTATAGGCAGCTCTGGGGTGTATAGGGAGGTGTGGGGTGTATAGGGAGGTGTGGGGTGTATAGGGAGGTGTGGGGCTTTTGTGGTTTAGGGTTTAGGGTTTAGGGTTTAGGGTTTGGGGAGGTTTAGGGTTTTAGGGTTTGCAGCTGAGCCGCAGGGGACTGGGGAAGGCCCGGGAGAAAAGGGTTTAGGGTTTAGGGTTTGTAGCTGAGCCGCAGGGGCCTTGGGGAGAACTGGGAAAAGGGTTTAGGGTTTAGGGTTTAGGGTTTAGGGTTTAGGGTTTAGGGTTTACCCGAGGGACTCCTTCGTGGGCAAAAGGCCAACCATCATCATCGAGTAATAGTGCGGAATTAAAATTGAGAAAGTGCTCGACTGAAAAACAAAAATAAAAATAAAAAATAAAAATAAATAAATAAATAAATAAATAAACAATAAATAATAAATAAATAAATAAATAAATAAATAAATAAATAAATAAATAAATAAATAAATAAATAAATAAATAATAAATGAATAATAAATAGATAAATAAATAAATAAATAAATAAGTGAAAAAGTAAACGAATAACTAGATAAATAAAATAAATAAATAATGAATAAATAACAAATAAAAAATAAATAATAAATAACAATAAATAAATTAATTAATTGTGAATTAGAATGGAAGAAAATTAAAAATAAAGAAACAAGAGAAATAGAACTGAAATAAAAAGGAATAAAAAGAGAAAGAAATAAAAACTGAAAAGGGAAAATGAATAAAGAAATAGAAAGAAACAAAAAGAAACAAAAAGAAATAAAAAGAAACAAAAAAAAAGAAATGAAAAAGAAACAAAAGAATAAAACGAAGACAAAAAAGGAATAAAAAGAAACAAAAAGATTTAAAAAAGAAATAAAAAAGGAGTAAAAAAGAAATAAAAAAGAAAGAAAAAGGAAATAAAAAATAATCAAAAAGAGGAAAAAAAAGAAACAAAAAAGAAATAAAAAGAGAATCAAAAAAGGGACAAAAAGAGAATCAAAAAAGAAACAAAAAAGAATCAAAAAAGAAACAAAAAAGATTCAAAAAAGAGATAAAAGGGAAATTAAAAAAAACAAAAAAGAATCAAAAAGGAAACAAAAAAGAAACAAAAAAGGGACAAAGCGGAGATTAGAAAAGACAAAAAAAATCAAAAAAGATCAAAAAAAGAAAAAAAAAACAAAAGATTTAAAAAAAGACAAAAAACAAAAACTAAAAACCAAAAAGATAAAAAACGGAAAAAAGATGAAACAAAAACAAAAACAAAATAAATAAATAAATAAATAAATAAACAAGGAAATAAACAAACAAATAAATACATAACAAAATAGACAATAAAAAAACAAACAAATAAACAACCAAATAAACAATAAATAAATAATAACTAAATAAACAATAACCAAATAAACAATAAATAAATAAACAACAAATAAGCAACAAATAAACAATAAATAAATAAATAAATAAATAAATAAATAAATGAATAAATAAATGAATAAATAAATAAATAAATAAATAATAAAAATAAATAAAATAAAATAAATAAAATAAAACTGACATTGGCGCCTCCGTTGAACTTCATGATATCCACCAAAAGGGGCTGGACGCAATAAGCTGCTAAGAAGGCAGCAACTAGCGCTAGCTGCAGCAGCAGCCGCCCCGAAGCAGGAGCTGCTGCTGCTGCTGCTGCTGCTGCTGCTGCTGCTGCTGCTGCAGTCCCCATGGCCGCCGTCCGCGAAGGGCCTCTCCCCGGCTGCGCGCGAAGCGCCGATTGACCAGCAGCAGCAGCAGCAGCAGCAGCAGCAGCAGCAGCAGCAGCAGCAGCGGCAGCAGCAGCAGCAGCAGCAGCAGCAGCAGCAGCGGCGGCGGCGGCGGCTAGCTGCAGAGAAGCGCTCGCTGGCTAGCTAGCTAGCCAGCGGGCAGACGGGCTGCGCTGGGGCGGGAGCGGCTGCCAAACCCTAAACCCTAAACCCTAAACCCTAAACCCTAAACCCTCGAGCCGGGATGGGCGGGAAGCGAGACGCGCCGGAGGAAGCCCTGCTGCTGCTGCATGCAAGGGTTTGAAATGTTTCTTTTTGAATTAAATAAATTAAATTAAATAAATTAATTTAATTTAATTTATTTAATTCCAGAAAAAGAAAAGACACCCGAAGGACAAGGGCGGAGCTGTGGGGCCGGGCTGCTGGGAGTGCCGCGGAGCTGTCTGTACACCTCAAGCGCAGCTGCAAACCCTCCAAGTGGATTTATTTCAAATTTAATTTAAATTTAAATTTAAATTTAAATTTAAATTTACAAAAAAACATTTAAATGAACTTCCAAACCCCCGGGGCTGCTGCTGTCTCAGCGGCGGCTGGGGGCTGCGGTGTCTGTACACCGCAGCTGCCTCGGGTGTATAGACAGCTCCTTCTTCGCCGCCACTTCCTTTTCCTTTTCCCGCGGCTTTCCCCTCAACCCTCCCAAACCCTAAACCCTAAACCCTAAACCCTAAACCCTAAACCCTAAACTCGCCGCCAGGTCCCTCCAGAGTCGATGCAGCCGCCAAAGCCCCAGACCCAAAGCCCTAAACCCTAAACCCTAAACCCTAAACCCTAAACCCTCGACTCTTAGTCTTTGACCCTGGGCAACACAGGGCTTTCGTGTCTGCGCTGGGGTGTACGTACACCCGAAGCAGCAGCAAACGGAGACAAAAAGACACGAGAAGCAGCAGCAAAGTTGCAGCAGCAAAACTGCAGCAGCAAAAATGCAGCAGCAAACCCTAAACCCTAGGGCCCTCGCCGACTGAGGCTTCTAAAGGGCACGGGGGCCCCTCGGGGTCCCCCAGCTTTCCTACAGCAGCAGCAGCAGCAGCAGCAGCAGCAGCAAGTCAGCAGCAGCAGCAGCAGCAAGAACAGCGGCCGACTCGCAGCAGCAGCAACAGGAGATGCGGCAGTGGTAGCCGCGGCGGGTTAACTGCGCGAGCAGCAGCAGCAGCAGCTAGCAGTCAGCAGCAGCAGCAGCAGCAGCAGCAGCAGCAGCAGCAGCAGCAGCAGCAGCAGCAGCAGCAGCAGCAGCAATGTTTGGGTGCGCGGGCGGCCACAAAAGCCGCCTCAGCGTCAGCAGCGATGGTTTATTTTTTTATAAGAAAACAACAAAGGCAGAAGCCCACTTTTATTTGCTGCTGCATGCGCTCGTGCAAAGAAAAGCAGCAGCAGCAGCAGCAGCAGCAGCAGCAGAAACAGCAGCAGCAGCAGCAGCGACGGGGGCAGCAGAAACGGCAGCAGCGGCAGCAGTTCAAGGACCGGAGCCAGCTGCAGCAGCTGCTGCAGCCGCAGCAGCAGCAGCAGCACCAGAAACGGCAGCAGCAGCAGCAGAAACGGCAGCAGCAGACACAACAGCAGCAGCAGCAGCAGCAGCAAAAACGGCAGCAGCAGACACAGCAGCTGCAGCAGCAGCAGCAGCAAGCACTTTTGCTGTAGATCTGTTGAATGGAAGCTGCCCATTGGGCTGCAAAGAAGACTGCCCGCTGCTGCTGCTGCAGCAGCAAGAAAAGATAAATGGGGGAGGCGGCCCGGAGTCTGCTGCTGCTGCTGCTGCTGCTGCAGCAACAGCAGCAGCAGCAGAAGCAGCTGCAGAGCTTCTGCCGTTCATGCCCAGGCTTTTTGGAGTTTATTTAAATGACAAAAAGGAGACAGCTGCAGCAGCAAATAAGGAGACAGCTGCAGCAGCAAATGAGGAGACAACTGCAGCAGCAACTGCAGCAGCAAATGAGGAGACAACTGCAGCAGCAACTGCAGCAGCAAATGAGGAGACAACTGCAGCAGCAGATAGGGAGACAACTGCAGCAGCAAACAAGGAGGCAGCTGCAGCAGCAAATAGGGAGACAACTGCAGCAGCAAATGAGGAAGCAACTGCAGCAGCAAAGGGGACAACTGCAGCAGCAAATGAGGAAGCAGCAGCAGCAGCAAATGAGGAAGCAGCAGCAGCAGCAAATGAGGAAGCAGCAGCAGCAGCAAATGAGGAAGCAGCAGCAGCAGCAGCAAATGAGGAAGCAGCAGCAGCAGCAGCAAATGAAGAAAAAGAAGAAGACAAAGAAGCAGCAGTTTTGTGTCTGGAGAATTTGCTGCTGGGCCTCGAGGACCCCATAGTAATAGACATTAAACTGGGTGGGCATTTTAAATTAATTAAATTAAATTAATTAAATTAA